GGCAAATATTTTTTTTCTTTTAAGTGAACAGTTATGTCTCAAAGGGGCATCACTCTCATGATACTCAAGAGCCCTTCAAATGGCGACATGGCGGCTAAACGACAGCACCATTACCCAAACGATGAAAGAGATAGAGGGACTCATACAAAGTGCGCAATACATTTCTCTGCCTATTATGGAGCACAGAAAGAGCAGTCTGAGAAAGAGCAAATGATGGAGGGAGAGATTCGGAGAGGAAGGTGAAAAAGAGAATTTGAGAGGAGGAAGAGAATGAATGAGAAAGGGAGGGAGATTAGGTAGGTAGAGAGAAGAATGCAGGCAGGGGATAAGATAGGGCATAAAAACCAAATGGGACAGGGAAAGACAAGGTTTGCAAGGTACTGAACAGGAAATGAGCAATGACACTGGTTGTATCTGTTCTCTTCAGAGAGGAACATTGCAGTGATTTGAGCAGAGCAGATGACACACACTGTTTAGCCATCAGACAACTCCTCCTCCTCCTCTCTGTGAAGGAGGCCGTGAAACCTGAGCCAGAGGTCGGATTTTCAGCCACTACTTTCTTATACATACACACTCATGAAAAAAAACCTTGTTGCCTTGATGGATATTGTTGCACTGGGTGTTATAAAGGTGCAGAATTTATCTACTTCTCTTACAAACAGGGCTGACCCTTTACACACACTCCAAAAACCAGATCTCTGGGCCTTATAACATAATGCACAGCTGACTCCATAAATTCCAAAAACAGACTCCGTATCTAGATTCAGAGCGTTCCAGTTGCTGCCCTCATGCCATGCTCTTATCAGGCCTACAGTCTTACGCTGTGAGCCAGTATCATCCATCTAAATCACAAGCTGGCGGCTTGTACAGTGTGTGCCTGTGGGTGGAGGATACGTGATTCCAATGCTCTATTCCTGCACTGATCTGTGCCGTGTTTGACGTAAAACACTGGCACGTCCTCTGGAGCAGCACACGTACAGTACAAACATGCGGCTGACAGTTATTCACGGTGTGTTTTTTGGAAAAATAAAATGCTGTCGAGGCTGATGGAGAGGTTTGATGCCCGACGCGGCGCATGTTTGTCTAGACTGTCTCCTATCACCCACCCATCACTGCTGTCAACTACAGTGTGTGCATCCTATCACATCTTGAGGCAGTGTGTCTCTGATGTTTGTTTTTTTTCTACAGTGTGGGTGAAAAATCATATGTGTGCAGAGTGACTTTCCAAATCAGTAATTTAGAATTTGTAATCTGCAGCTGTTTTCAGTGAAAGAGTTCTGAAAACCACAGACAGACACAGTTAGCACCTAGCTGGTGAACTGAGTGGAGCATGTAGCAGCTGAAGAGCCGGATATTTCCCTCAGGAGTTTGAGAACAAAAACAGAGCTAAAAGAGAGTGAATACTGTTTAGATTTACACCCAATGAATGGTAATGTTGCTCTGTATCTGGTGGATCTGTATAAGTATCTATTTGCTAACAAGTTTGACACATCATCAAAGGTAATGGTACGTCCATGTGGTGTACACAACTTGTTTCCAATCCCCCCAAGTGGCGAAAAGAAATCAGCTGTAAACAACCAAAGTGCTACCCATCATATCTGAAAGAACCAGTCTACAAATTAAAAAAAAAAAAAAAAGAAGTTGAAAGAAAGTTTTCCATTAATACCGTTAGGGATGTCACAAGAAGCGATACTTCAGGACCAAGTCGATGCCAAAATTCAGAATGTGACGGTACAACATCCACAGCCCCACAGATGTTGAGGGTGGGAAGCTACAAGTGCCTTAGTCTGACATTAAACTAGAAGAGAAGAAGAAGGCAGGCACAGGAAACAACATCAACAACACGTGAAATGGAGGTGCTGGTGCAGCAACATGTCCTCTGCAACTTGTGGGGAAAAAAAAAAAATATGGCAAGACCGGTGTATGGAGATATTCTGCATGTGACGCAAATCGTCATGAGCAAGTTATAGATGACCAGAAACCTGTACGGAAACAATGCCACAAAGCATCTCAAATGAAAAGACAGGCATCCGGATCTGAGTGAGTTTCAGTTGTTAACTTTACATTAACAACACGTCGTCAAAATGTTCATGTCCTGAAATGTTACCGAATTGCAACAGCTGGAGTCTGTTGTAGCAAAGCTCTTTGCTTTGAATTTCATTGGTACTGGTACTGAATACCAGATTCCAAAGGCCTAGTAAAGGTTCAGGATTAGTTGTCTATAAAACCAAAACAGTTGGTGTGCTAGTGATGTATCAGTAAATTTGTCCCGACATTTGACAAATTCAGGTTGGTTTGAATTGCTTAAAGCTTAAATAGAATAGAGCCCGGCTTTAAAGCAGATAGCATGCTCTCTTGGACAGCTGATCCCTTCATCCAGCTCAGACACACGCTGCAAGGATTAAATCTCACTGCATCACACACAGACACTACCTGCCAAACAAAAACCTACTTAGCTAGCTGGTCAAATGTAAAAACACAAAACAAATACAATGACTTGTCATTATAGGAACATGCACTTAAAGCATGTATCGATGGTTACAAGCTCCTGCATGCCCATAGTAAAATCTTCTCAGCTAGCTCCCGGGTCTCCTCCAGGTGACTGAGGTAGCGCTTCAACAAGCTGCTATAAAACGCTCATCAATCACAGAAGCTAATCTCAGGTTCTCGCTGACACTTTCATTGTGCAGGCCTTTTTCTATACGGCTGCCTCCACATAATGCCCTGCTCTGCCTGCTTTGACAGGCCAACGGCCCTGCAGCTCCCTGCCATGAGAGCCATTCTCAAGTGGCATGCCTTTGAAGTGAAGCACCGGTGGAGCTCGGGCTAATCTGGACATCTGCAGGGTAAAGCAGGGCAGAGGCAAAGACTAAAGGTGACCTCAGCCCAGCTTTGTGGGGAATGAAAATAGCCATTTCACCGGTTTTGTGAATTGAAACTCCAATAAAAAGCTCTTTATGTCCATCTTCAGTTCCATTATCCAGAGTTCAAACCAAAACCATGGATGAGCTGAGACCTGGACAACATTACTGCCATCCAAACAAAAAAAGGAAAGAAAAAAAAAGGGGAAAACCAAAAATACTTGAGGAAATGTCTCCAATATGGTTTGGAGGGGGTAGAGTATATTTCTAATCACAAGAAAATCCTCTGGCCACCTCTTCAATTTTTGTGTTTCTGTCCTCGATCCCCACCAGCAATTTTTTTCGGTCCTCCAATCTTAGTCGCCCACTCTCGGCAGAGGGAACACAAACAGCCCTATTCAAAAATAAACACAGCAATTTTGTGCGTGTTTACCTTTCATTCTGCCATATCTATCTGTGATTCTGTGCTCCAAACTGTTCTGTTCCATTTCACGCCGTGAGGAAGACCTTGTTTCTTGGCCCACTGTACAGATGAATGGGCTAGATAGTGAGCGCCATTATTCTACACAATCATTTCTATCTTGTCCCCTCTTGCTTTTTGTTGTTCTTTTATAGCTGCATGCTGACCTGCCTGAATGCCAAATTGTGAGGTATTATTGCAGCTGGCACAGGCGTATGTTTATGACAACAGCTTATTTTGTTGCTGGGAAAAGTGGCATGTATAGAGTATGTTCCTATGCATAGAAAACATGTGATCGGTACACAGCACTGCAAGGTATGATTATACAAAGAACTGTATCCCTTATGATACATGATAGCAATCATTTGCAGCACTGAACCTCTGACAAAACATGAAGCCCACACAGACTGTTTCATTGTTAAGAGGCGATAGGAGAGATCGTAATCCATGAAAGCAATCAGGCTTTAAGGTCGATCCCATTCTCACTAATTCTTAAAATTTCATGTGTCAGAATGTAATGATGAATGCATTCCTTGGATTATTTTGAAAGTAACTTCTGATTTTACATCGAAGAACCTTGTGATTATTTATTATCAAAAGACTACTGAAAAGTTTGAGATGTTAAAATCAGCTCCAGTATTTTTTCATTGAAGTGAGTATGGTCATGTGGACACCTCAACATTGAAAGATAATTCAGGTTACAACTCAGGTCTTATTTCTGTAGTTTTGGCCATCACTCCAATCAGTTATAATAACACTTATCAAATTACTGTAGTTGTTTATAGCAATGTCGCCAAGTTCCCTGAGGGGTAGAGTCCCACAGAAGATTATACCCATGTTGATTGATACGAGATATGAGAAAGCCAGTTCCTGTAACTGGGTCAGTAATATAGGAAACCTGCTTAATTTAGATTTTTTTTAGCAGATTTTTTTTGTACATGTTAAGTTAAGCTATTTACTGCTTTATTTATCTATTTATTAATTTATTCAAGTTTTCATTAACAGCTGTTTACTTACTGGTCTAGTAAAGAGCTTCAGTCATTGTTGTGTTTACATTACAAGGGGTTATAATACGCCCTCTAAGCAGCACTACTTCTTCAGGGCAGACTGGACGCTACTGTGATGAGATTGGGCCGACTGGGCCAAAGCTACCTGGTTAGCATGCTAAGTTCAGTAGAAGAAAAGAAGGGGTAGAAATAGAAGCAAACAACAACAGGGTTGCTTTCCACCGCTTACAAATAGCTCCTGTAACCAGATTTCTAACTGGGTTTTTGCAAAAACGCATGTGCATGACAGACAGTAGCTCCTGGCCTGGTAGCAATGCAATGGGATGATTATATTATATTTTCTGAAATTCAGACACATGCTGTCAGGAAAAACTGTTCTTTTTCACTACAGAGCCTGTTCTCTCTCTTTTCTCTCAGTCCAAATGCCCTTGTAAAAAAAAAAAAAAAAAAAAAGTTAATAAATAAATCTAATAAATCTTAAAATAAGCCACGCATGGTTCAACAGCATAGAAGAAAAGACAGATATCTAATTACTCTCAAGCTGTATGAAAATGAAAGTTTTAAAAGTAACCATAACCTGCTTTCTCCCACTAACCAATTTACTTGTGTTCATGTGACTGTTGTACATACAGCATTATCAAATGTTTATATAAAACATACATGATGTCTGACCTTGGATGGAAACCTTTGGATGTTCTTTCTTTGTGCACTCTGGTTGGGTCAGCGGGTCAAACAACGGCGGGGTCGCGGTTGTCGGGACTGACTTCTGTGTGAAAACAGCCGGGAGGAGGAGGAGCAGGAAGAGGCCAGCCATAGACGAAGGTGTGGAGTCCTGCGAGGACGCTGTCATGGTGATGACCTCTCCTCTAACTGCCAAGGTGGGCCTCTAGGATACAGCTAGAGAAGAGAGGAGACGACTTCAGCACCTCAATACAACATTTTTACATCTGGCTTCAAAGAAAAGGAGCTCTCTCTGAGTCACTTCAAAATCATTTCTTCTCTCAAACTTTCAATTCCTGAGGGCTTCCGGCTCCAAATCCAGCATGGAAGAACAGAAAGAGAATGAAAAAGTAATGCAAAGGTATAAAATTTTGGTTAAAGGACATAAACGTGGGATGAAAGCAAGGATGTTAGGTAACTAGTGGGTGGCTGGAAAGACGAGATATAAAGCTGAGTAAACTAAAATACAGAAAAAAAAGGAGAGAGAAATAGAGAGTGTGAAGGACACAGAGTGTAAAAGCTGCACAAAAAACTCTTACGCTTCAGCAATGAGAGCATCTGAAAGAAGTGCCTCCCCTCTAACCTTCAGATAATTATTTAAAATGTGCAATTAAACTTCGGAAGTTTTAATGGCTGATTAAAATTGGAAAATTGATAGCAATAGTGGACTGTTCAATGAGGCGTTAGCCTCCACAAGTCAATGAAGCAGAAATGAGTTACCTTAAAATTTGTGGCTCTTAAAAGATGTGCTGTAAAAATGTTTGCACAACCATATATTCCGATTCCTGTGCCCCCAAAAAACTTTGTTACAGCACATGTGATTCACATCAACACATGAATAATATCCCGTCATTGTCTGACCTCCACATTCTCGCATTATGTAAGTAGCTCCAGCCGGCAGAAAGAAAGACACACACACTAGTGTTCTGGCACAAAACACACATGCACTCGTTCTGAGTAAATGTAATCTCCTCCAGTCATAACATACGAGTCCACAGTGCTGAGCTGAAACCAGCAGTTCATCATCTCCCGCCCTGCACTCCTTATGATGTTAGCTTAGCGAGGTGTAATATCATTAAAGTAGATTAAAAACCGAGAGCATCAACTTTCTGCAGCACTTTGGCTGGGTTACATCTCTCTGTAGTGTTTTCCTTGCTAATGCTTCAATCAATAACAAATTATTAGCTTGGTTGAGTTGCAAATCAACCATATTGCCCTGCAATCAATTATCCCTCTCACTACAGCTGGTAACTAATTAGGCAAATGCACACAGTGCCTATGTTTGTCATTACAATACAGTGGAGTCAACAGGCCTCAAGCTATTGCCGACAAACATAATGTTGATGCAACAGGTGGAAATATTCAATGTACACAGCTCTAGGCGAGACTGAGTCGGGCTGGATGACTCGCAGGGTTCAGAGCTCACTGTAAGGATATACAGGGACCAGAAACAGCACTGTATTTGTGTTGCCACAGAAACGTGCGAGGATGAAATACAATCCAGGAAGTCAAATTTTAGTGATGCATCAATCAGTTTCAGGTTTCATGCTGCCTCCTCATCATACCCAGGGTTCTGACTTTGTCTTTCATATTTTCAGATTGTTGGCAAGAAGTCCAAGCCCATTTCATATCATAACATGTTAGACAAGACCTTTTTAGAGGCAACATCAGGTCACCTCCACAATAATACAGATTTATCGTATTTGAAAATGATGTTTGTATCAACAAAGCTTCAATCATGCACATACTTTCATATTATTTTCCACTTTTCCATCCAGACTGAAATGTCACACAAGTAGAAAAAAAAGTGAAATCCCCTCCACAGTGTACATGTGGGCCTCTTGAGCCAGCAGCTTTATTCCACTCATGCAGACACATCTCTGATTTTCAAAGAGTTGTTTACAGAGCAAGCATGAATGTTGAAGTGTGTCATCACGTCGAGACCCTCAAAAATAAATCATGCCATGCTGAGGTCTGTATTGTCTCATTCTTCTAGCTTGTCTCTCCCCCTCCCTACTTTTTATGTGTACGCTGTCAGCGTCATAGCTAAGCATTTGATCCACTCTTGTTACCTTCACCTCGGACTTGATGACTGAACTTGTCTCCTATTCGCAGACTGTAATCCTGCCCAACAACCAAGTAAACTACCTTTTAGCCCTAACTGCCATTTGCTGCCTGTCTGCACTTGGGTTCTGTTACCTGTTACCAAATCCTTGGCAGGATGACATTACAGTGTGATCGCTGAGATCACATGACACTCAAATGTCTCCCTTTTCTCTGTCTACACAACAAAGTGAGACTGGAAGGGTTTTTATGCTTGGAGGATCAGACTCATAGAGGTCAAAAAAAGTTTCCATTAGCTGGACAAAGATGAAATTACACTTGAATGCAGATGACATGAGTCCAGCTTTTGACCCTGTAGATCATAGTATCCTCATTAGACATAGAGACAGTCAGTGGTAACCTCTGAGGGCCACACTACTCTCTTTATATTTGAATGATGGGAAATGGCTCTTCACTTTATGACATGTGGTGACCCTCAAGGTTCAATCCTTGGTCCTTTGTAGTATTCCTTGTATTTAATAGCTCTGAATCACATTATCAAAGGCACAGCATTACAAATGAATGGGCTGATGACACATGTTTAATTCACCTTTATATAATTATATTCATAATAGTCATACAGTATCTGAATCATTGAGAGTGTCATTTCATGAGAAAGAGCAGTGTCAGTTTTTTTTTGCAATAGTAGTTTCAAAGTAGAAAAACAAGGTATTTTCCCATTTAATTCAGAGGTCTTTTCTTTTTTTAGTCTTTTTATTCAAGTGAAATGAATAAGATTGAATCTGCACAGCTGATTAGCTGATGTTAAAGGCAGGGCATCTCACAAATCCTTACAATTGATTTCTATCGAAACCAAATGTCTTGTCAGAATTTTCAATGTACATGTTTTAATTATATTTAACTTTCCTTTTGGGTTTCCGATTTATGTTTGGCTCTTGTCTTGATTTCGAGAAACATGCTAAAAAGCTCTTCAGTCGTGTTTTTTTTTCTAATTAAATAGCACTGATACCTGCTTCAACTAAAGTGAAGCAGAGCAACGTCTGTCGTTCTGAATGTTGTAGCAAGGCTTTTAATTAAAACTAAAAGTCGGACCATATGTTCCTAATTTTAGCGTATCCTGATTGGTTGTCTGTTTGTTTCAAAACTGATATGAAGACTTTGCTGGTTACCCTTGAGGCTTTGCATGGACAGGTGCCTGGTTATCTCCTAAACTCTTACTTTCCTTTTTCCTCACCTTCTGTTTTTTGGCTCAACCAGTCTATTTATTTATTTTAAAAAATTTAAGGCACTTTATCACATTGATGTAAAACATCCTGTAAGTCCAGTATAGCCACTAACAGTATAGTATAACCACAGATATTAGAGAGAGAGCTACCTCAGTATAAAGGGTATGATATTCCTTCAGCAGACTCTACATTCATTTTTATTTTTCTGACATTCACTTTTATTAGATACCTGACAGCAGAGACTGACATGAAACATGAGGAGAGAGACAATGCAGGATGATATATGATTAAGGTTCCTGGGTGAAATCAAACCCAGAACATTATGCTTACAGGGCATATGTTTTACCAACTAGAATCCCTCATTCCTTTATTTCTATTATCTGCAGAAGCAGTTTTGGCAGGTGCTTAATTCACACTAAACCACTGAATCCTGAAAGTCAAAGGCTGACTCTACAAATCCTCTCATTAGTCTAAAAGCTGGACTGAGAGCAGAAAGGGCAGGAGATCATGACAGATGACCAGGACTCTGCTGTAAGTTCAGACTTTGGTGGGTGAGTTATCTTGGCACAGACACACAGAGGGAACCGTACTGTCAGCAGCAGGATGAGGTGAGTACGCAGATGTCAAAAATTTCTGTAGAAAGTCATGTCATACACTCAAGCAGACCGAGATGTGCACGCACGCACACACACACACACACACACACACACACAGTCTCAGTGTGTGAAGCTGGAAAATCCAGCCATGGACAGCTGGTCACACTCCATATTGGGTCACAGCAAGTGGGCAGAACTGACGTACGCTGTGTGCCAACATCCACGCCCGAGTGTGTGTGTGTGTGTGTGTGTGTGTGTGTGTGTGTGTGTGTGTGTGTGGACTTTTATGCGAGCGTGTGTGCTTATTCCAAACATGACTCTTTAAGGCCACTCCAAAGAGGCCTGATAGAGTCCATCCAATTTCCTTTCCTGCTGTGTTTGGGTTTAGCAACAGTTTGTCAGCAAGTAACCAGGACGATCTATAACTTTGAGGAAACTGTCCCTACAAACACTGACGCACACACGCACATGTGCAGAGTCCCTGAACCACTGTTCAGTCAGTCAGACATCCTGCCGGATACAATGAGTTGATTTAAGGTGCAGTACATGCTGAGGATTTACAAGGTACTTTTGTAAATTGGACTAATAGATGACCAGGCACGTCTCTTTGTCAATAACTCTGTGACCAGTGAGGAGAGAGATTCACTGCCTGACTGTTGTGATAACTGTGTTTGCAGAGGAGGAAGAAAATGTTCAGTCCTTTAAAAAGTAACACCATCCCTATGTGGAAACACTCCAGTTAAAAGTCCTGCACACAGTAGTGCTCTGTCTAAAGTGTGCTCAAGTATTGCAAGTATTCATTGTGAAAAATCTCCAGTCAGCCTCTGTACATACTTGAGGCGTGTGTGATTAGGGTGTAGGAGCTTGCTACAGAGCCACAGACTTTGAGCAACCCACATTAATCTTCTACCCATCTGAATGAAATAATATTCCAGGTTGAAACTCTGTCCCTTATCCAGGTCGCCAGTGAGCTGCTATCTTTGCTTTCATTCAGAAACAGAAGCACTACTTGGGGAACTTTTTTTATCCAGATGGTTAGAAGAGTCTCTTTGGGGATTCTGAAACTACCCTCAGATACTCAATTACATAATGTGCCACCACCTAAAAATTGTAATGAAATATAACACGAGTAAATGGCTCTCGCCTCTGGCTGTGTACTCTGACAATTTACAGTAGGCACATAAATTGACCTAAGCATCCAAAGCTAGAGGCAGTGTATTTCCTGTTAAGGTACACTGCATTAATATTTCACCGGGATGCTCCAGCATGGTGCAGCATGTTGTAAACAACC